CCCCCCCCCCCCCCCCTTCTAAATTACGTGTTTACCCTTTCCAACCTTACTTTTTCCTATTTTTGTTGGTTAAATACATTTAGCCTTCGAGCTTGCATATGATGCCATGGTTGAATTAGAGTTAGACTCGTTTTACTCGAAAAGAAAAGTTTAAAGTAGACAATATATGCTAGCGGTAGATATAGACTATTGCAAATGGTATTCGAGTTCGTCACCGAATAGAGAGGGAAATAGAGTCTTCCTTACAAGAGTGTAGAAACTTATCCGTAAGAGACGGATGATGACACGGACAAAAATAGACAATATCTGTTAGAAGTATACTTGAATTGGTCGAAGTAAGGCTAGACTCTTTCATTAGTAGACACATTATTAAAATTTATGAGCGACTTACCTATCGAACCAAAACATAGTAGTAAGCTTGATTGTTACAAATGGTATTAGAGTCAAGTACAAACATTACCAAAGAGTGTGATGCATTAGGTTACAGCCATTTCTCTAATATAAGTTTATATCATTTTACATCTCTACTAGCTAAAATGGATAATATCAACTAAATATGGACTCTCCTCCATAAAAGACAGATTTGTTTTTTTTTTTTCATAAATAATAATAAAAAGGTTACGATATTAATTTCCAAATTTATTTCAAGTGAGACGGAAATATAATATTAAATTATTTAATTAAAAATTGAAATAAATTCGAAGAAAAATACGGGAGTGGCATTCAGTTTTTGTCCTATGAGACAATTCCAAATGAAATACGTTTCAGAATGGAACGGAAAAAAAAAATGATGAGAAGCAGGAAACAAACAAACAAACAAATTATACGTTCACCGGTTTGCAGAGGAACCGCAGCGACGGAGCCGCGGCGGCCGCATCGCCGCCGAGCCAACCGTTTCTCTCGTAATAATCGACGCAGAACAAGGAGAGCGAGAGTCGCTGTACCTGATCTTGGAGAGTCCGAACGCGGGGGACCAAACCGGAGCGATTCAATCGGGAGAGGACGGGACGAAGGCAGAGCATGTAGAGTCTCTTGTAGCCGCCGAGAGCGAGGATGAGAGGACGGACGGAGGAGAGAGGCGGAGAGGAGACGTGAAGGAAACAGAGATGCTCCCAGAGTGAATCGTCGTTGCGAGCTAGGGCACACCAGAGACGGCAGACGCAGGCGGCGGCGCAGAGGGAAGGACCGTCAAGTCGCTTGAGGATTTCGGTGAGGATATCGAGGTGATCGTTGATTGAGAATTTGATTTTCTTACTGTTGTTCTTGCGTTTGGTATCTCCTTGTGGTGCATTTGGCTGCATGATTAACCTGTTTCTTCTTCTTCTTCTTCTTCTTGATTGATTGATTGTTTCAATTTCTCGATCGAGAGAGGGATTTTTGAAGAAAGATGAACAAAGTAGAAAGCAACCGCCGAACTTGGCAGATTTTAAAATAAATAAATAATAATAACAATAAAAAGAGTAAAATTTGCGTGTTTGTTGGGCTTTTGCAGTCTAGCCACCTGGCCCAATTACGTGGCGTGAAGCATTTATTACTATTTTTCTTAATTTTATTTTTACATTTTTTTAATTTTCTTTTCATTTTTCATATAATTAAAAAAAAAATTAGAATGTATATAAAATTATTTTAGAGGGAGAGAGAGGTATCAAAGATGAAGAAGATGGCGCCAAAGGGAAAAGTTGATGTAGCAAGGAAGTGGAAGAAATGAGGTGAGAATTTTGTTGTTGTGTAGCAATTTAATGGAAAAGGTTTATCGGGTTCAGCGGATTTTCTGTTTCTTGTTCTTGTTTTATATTTACATATTCCAATATCTTCTTTCGATTTGACCTTTCTTTCTTCCTTTCTCCAAGAAGAATTACTGCCTTTCAATGTTTAGCCCACTCTGTGTCATTGCTTCTATGATCCACGCATATGAATTTGGGATTGCTCTCTGAAACCCTACTGTTTTTGCCCATTTCATCTCATCATAAATGGTAGGGCCATTAGGGTTTTACTCCATTTGAAATGAAAGATGAGTTCGTGTTTGATGCTTGCTTGCTTTCTTTCTTTCTTTATTGATCTTTAGGTTTAAATACTATTGATTGGGTTCATTCTGGTTGCCATTCTTTCGAATTGTATGCATTTTAGCCCACAATAAGGCAAAATTATGGTTACATCTTATGGATGAATCATCGTGCTAAAATGTTGATTAAAAATGAGATAAGAATGTAAGTGATTGGACCCAAGTCAAGAATGTTTCGAATGTTTGGAAAGCACACGAACCAAAATGAATAAAAGTTGAACTATATGAAGACTAAAATAGATATTTCGAATGTTTAGGGACAAAAACGGACTTAACTCTTGAAAGTATAAGAATCAAAACAATATTTAAACCTTATGTTTATGGAAAAGAAATGGCAATAGACGTGTTCATTTCTGTTTGACATGGGTAGGATGAGGTTTATATTGGGTCTTCTTATTTTGGTTAATATTGCTGCGTGAATATGGCTATGGAGGGAAATACAAATCAAATGGTACTGAAACTCGAGCCATTCTGTAGAGATTTATGCATATAGTGAATTTGAGATGCCTTTAAAACGTTTGTGAGTCAAACATTTCTATCCAGTGCTTTGTGTGCTGTGCTAAAAACACTTCTTACCATTCTAAAAAACTATCATAAACTCACTTTTATTCTACAAAATGGAAAACTAGAACTTTAGCATCTCTTTTAATGGTTTGTCCTCCTTGTCACCCTTCTCTTTGGTCGTGCAACTCTGTAGATCCTCAGAAACCATGCTTCCTTCCTCTTGATTACATAATTCCCAGCCACCATTCCAAACACAACCCCACAACTATATCCAATCAACACTATTTTCCAACCAAAATCGAACATAGACGCTTCATCATCTTTCTCTGAGGTTGAAGATGATGGTTCCTTGGCCTCAGATTCCCCACATTTCTTCACCAATGGCTTCCCACACAATCCTACATTGCCCTCATACGAACTGCTTTCAATGTTGTTAAGCTGGTTCCCTTCTGGTATTAGACCCGAGAGGTTGTTTTGGGTGACATCAAAAGTTGAAAGGAAAGTGAGCTGAGCCAGTGACTCTGGAATCTCCCCTGAAAGCCTGTTGTTTGAAAGATCCAGAGATTCAAGCTGTGTTATGTTACCCAATGACGATGGGATTTGACCACTGAGCATGTTGTGAGACAG